GATTCAAATTATTACATCATTTATTACAAATGAGTTTTCGAATGACTAGATCATATATTTTCAGGGATTTGTGTAACTTTACCGACACTTCGTAAAAGTTTATTTACTGATGGTTAATTGACTAGATCATTTATTTTCAGGGATTTGTGTAACTTTACCGACAATCACTTTGTAAAAGTTTATTTACTGATGGTAATTGACTAGATCATTTATTTTCAGGGATTTGTGTAGCTTACATGTTCATTCTATAGTTGCTGATCGGAAATCTGAAACAAATCATGTGGAAGAGACAATCAGTATAATCGACAATAACCTGTCACAGATTTCAAACGTAATTTGCCAATAAACTTATTCTTATGGGCAATTTTTATGCCGATACGTAGTTTATTTAATATATAGGTTTTTTTTAAATTGCACTAACCTTAAACATAGTTCTAACTCTAATTCTAATGTCCACGATAATAATTGCTTTAATTGCTTTATGGTGAAATGAGCTGTAATTGTCTATGTCCATAAAATGATTATCCACGAAATAAGTAGAACCGTTCAAGATAATAATGATACATTCGTGACATAAAATAATAATGTGTAATAATAATAATGTACTGTACAATATATTCGTAAAAGTTCTTTATGATCTAAAAGAATAATTAACCATATACATAAACAAAACGAATCGATATTTTGTTAATTGATTAATTAATAGTTCGAACTATTTAACAATTAAACGAGAAATATGTCTGGAATTCAATATAAATAGACGGACCAATTTCTTTTATATCCATAAAACAAAAAAAAAAACAATAAAAGCTTATTCATTGATAACTCAGTCATTCATTCCCTCGCAATTTGTCTTGTACATAAAATAAAAAAATTTTTCTTTCAAGAATTATTCTTTAAAAAAAATGGCAAAATTAAGTTTTAACCTTCTACCTTTGTTATTAATAACTTTGGCTACTGTTATTTCTGCCAAGGAACATCAAATTATGGTTGGCCAGGGTGGAATTGTTTTCGTTCCGTCAAATATTTCTGTGAACGTGGGTGATGTTGTAAGTATTCTAATAGTTTCCTTATAAACGAACAAGAAATATGCTTAGTTTAATATTGTCCTCTCTTTTGACAAAATTATAGGTCATATTCACATGGGCTTCTAGTCCGCACAGCGTTATTCAAGAAGATGATTTTAATAGTTGCATACAATCCAACACTATACCAAATCCTGGTAAATATATATTATTCTTATCCACTTTGT